TGCTATTCTAGCTTGTGGTTTTAATGTGCTTCGTGCGCTGTTGGAGTACGGGGTTGTGAGCAAGGGAAACAAGTGGCTCATTATCACTTAGTAAAGGAAATGCCCCCCCATCACCCACACACATTTCAGTCAGCAAGCTCCTCAACCATATGGCCTCCTTGGCCCCTCGGATAGTGCCTTGTACTCAGCCTCCGTACTGCTATAGGCTACACTATCCTACTTCTTGCTGTATCAACTGATAGCCCCCCCACCCAGCTTGAAGATTTAGGCCGCATGACTCTTTCCGTCTACCTCACCCGCCCAATCAGATTCAGTGTATCCAATGCCTTGCTCACCACCCTGTTGCTCATACCGGATCACCTTGGTGGCTGTGTCGACCAAATACTTGAGTGCTCTAAAACCAGCACGCAAGTGAATGCACCTAGGTGCAATACATGACTGTGCAAGTGTGTTGACAATGAAAGAGAGGTCAAAATGAGTGGTCACAGCAGCAAACATAAGACTGCCGATGAGACTCTGGTATACCTTGACGTCGGCAGGTGAGCCTTCGTCGGCAGACTATGTACCTTCCATTATCTTAGTGAGATCATTTGGTGACATAGGAGTATGCACCCTATGAGTCTCCCCAAACAAATCACCAAACTTGACCTGAAGTCCACGGACATAAATCTCCTGCCCGATCTCCAACCATCCACCCTCACGCGACATGCATACCTCCACCCCAAGGTACATAAACACCTCGCCGAGATCCTTCATCTGGTACATGTCAGCAAGGGTTTTCTTGGCCTGATCGATCAGGTCCAGGCATAGGGAGACCAGTAAAGGGTCATCCACATACACCAGCAAATATACAGGGTTCCCATCCACGAATCGGGTGTACAGAGCCTCGTCACATGCACTGCGACTAAAGCCTGTAGCTAGCAGTGTGGCCCTAATCTCCTCGTTCCAAGCACGAGGTGCTTGATTGAGTCCATAAAGGGCCTTTCGCAAGCGGTACACCCTACATGTACCATCATCAAAACCATCAGGCTGCCTCACATGCACCTCCTCCCGAAGGGGTGCATTAAAATAAGCATGGTTGACATCCTCTTGGTGTGCATACTAACATCGTATCGCTGATTCTGCAAGAAGCACCCGACCTGAGGCCAGTTTGCCGACAGGGGCAAACACCTGATCATAATCATTGTCATGCTCTTGGGTATAGCCTTTAGCAACAAGGCGAACCTTGTGCTCTACCACCTTGTCCTCCTGATCCATATTCCGGCGGAAAACATACTTGGTATGAATGGCATTTTTACCTGGAGGCAAGTCGACCGACTCAGGATCCCAAACTCCCATCGTGCTCATGGCTGTAACCTCCTTCCTAGCCCCATCATCCCAAGATGGACCCTCAGAGCCGCGCCTTGCCTCAGCCAGTGTGCGCGGCAGATCACAAGTGCTCACACCTGCTAGCGCAACACCCTCCACCTCCTTGGCCAAGCAAAGCATGCCCACAACTGCACCAGCATCCCCCCCTACCTCCTTACCACTGAAACCCAACAAGATACCAAGGACCTGCAAACCTGTCACAAGTGGTGGGGAGGGAGTGGCTGGTGCCCCAGATGCACTGGGAAGGGGAAGAGGCGAGCTCAAACCAGAAGAGGAGGAGGAAGAGGTAGGTGTCGCGGCACTGTGGTGAGGAACAAAACGTAGTGGTTGCTGCACGTCAGCAGGACGTGCTGACATACTCGTCGGTGCCAACACACTCTTCGGTGTCGACACCTGCAGCTGGGCCGATGACAAAGGCATGTCGGCAATATTCCTCTGCTCCAGGGCACTCGAGGGGGAGTGGAAGGAGCTGAGAGCTGGTAGCAGCATCTTGCCGCATTTCCCCAAAGGCTTTGGCCGTCTCCCAATCCTTCCACATCACATTCTTGAGAAAGTCGACATCTTGAACTATGCGGATGCACATAAGAGAAGGGTCCAACATCCTCCATCCTTTGATCTCCACGTCCACCCCGACACACATGCACATAAAAGCCCTTGCATCCAGCTTTCCACCTCGCTCCTGTACATGCAACATGACACTCCCCATGCAGCCCCAAACCCAAGCCATGCCGACATGCGGTTTAGCGCCTGACCAGGCCTCTATTGGAGTGATGAGGGCAGGCAATGCACTATGGGGTACCCGATTCTTGACCCACACCACCCACATCAGTGCCTGACCCCATTGGCGTGCCGGAAATCCGCTGTCGACGAGCAAGGTGAGAATCCCCTCTGCCATTGTTCTGTACCACCACTCTACCACCCCATTATGCTGCGGCGAGTCTGCTACAGTCAGATGAGTTTGAATATGAAACTCACTCTTCCATGCCTTCACAGCTTCCCCTAGAAATTCGCCACCCCTATCTGAGCGAATCACTTTCAGCTTTCGCCCTGACTCCCGCTCCACAACCTTGTGTCACGTGCGAAGGACCAGTGCCACTGTGGCTGATTCCTTGTTGGGGAGTGGAAACGCCCAAACCTGCCTGGTGAATTCGTCAATAAGGCTGAGCATGTACACCGCTCCTCCCAAGGATGGAGTGCGCACAGGACCCCACAAGTCCATGTGAACCTCATCAAGTGGTCCTAGGGATAGTGATGCCTCATGAGGAAACGACTTCCTTGCCGACTTCCCCAACAGGCACGACTCACAAGGGGGCCAATCTGCAGCTGCTCCCCTGATATCCAACCCATTCACACTGCTGCCCTTGGCCATCTACTGCAGTGTAGTCGACGCAATATATCCAAGTCGGCGATGGGCAAGTGTGAGAGGAGAGAGGGAGGGGGATGGGCGATCTTCGAAAGCCTTGCCTTGAATACCTTGAGCTAGTGGAAGCGGCATCCGCACGAGCCCATGATCCCTTCCACCCTCCTTCTGTCCTGCCACCAACACTCGCTCCCCCCTCGTTAGCACACATCTCGTGCCCTCAAATATGACTGTGACACCTCTCGAGGTGAGATGTGGGACAAACAACAGACGAGTGTGCAACTCAGGAACATGGTGTACCTTTTGCAGCCTTAGCACTTGACCACCTTCACTGACCACTGATACCTCACCCATGCCCTTAGCGGCAACCACTCTTCCATCGCCCAATCTCACTCCCTTGATCTCAGGTGGATTCAGCTTACTTTTGAAGTCAGACGCTGAGGGGGTGAAGTTGTGGTTGGATCCATTGTCAATCCACCACCCATCTCGCGACTACGTCCTTGCCCCTGTCTGCTACCCTGCTGCTGTCACTGCCTCCACGACTGCTATCTCTGTTAGATCCTCATGCTTCTCCTCATCCACCACTTGTGCCTTCATGTTGCACAAGCCGCGCTGTAGGTAGAGTTCCTTCACCCGCTTGTATGCCTCAAATGCGGGTGCACGACTACGAGTGACAGCTCTCGGCTCCCCGTCGGCAGCAGCGTCGGCAAGCTCGGGCTTGCCGCCAACTTCATCTACAGTACCAAGCAAATCAACTCATCCGGTACCAAGGCATTGCAACGCTGAGCATATGCCTTTTGGTTTTTCCTGTCCCACTTCCCCTAAGCATTGCCCGAGGTTTGCCGCTCCTCCGAACCATCATAGAATCCCCAGATGTCATGTGCTTCCGGCCATTCCTCGAACCAGAAGCTCCAAGTCCAATAGTCATTCCCATCAAACTTTGGCGCACTCTCCCATTTCTAATCACCCTTGTCCTGCTCCATGCCTAGCGTCAGAGTCGGCGGTGATGTCAGCAACATCGGCGACAGCGGCAGCGGCGGTGGCGGTGGTGGCAGCAGCAATGGCACTATCGACAGCGACAATGGTGGCGGCGACAACGGCAACACTGGCAGTGACGAGGGGAGCAGCGACGGCTGCGGTTGTGGTGTCGATGTCGGCAGAGCCACCCCCTCCTAGTTTGTGGAGCGTAACTCCAAGCCCAGATCTCTGAATGACGATCTGTCTGTGTTTGCTGAATCCTTACTCCGAGGGCTTTCCAACAAGGTCCTCCGAATTTTGTCACTGTTGCGCCTTCTATTCCCACTGTTAGTTTCTGCGCTGAAGTTTTCCGAAGTTTGTCGACTTGTTGTCGGCAAGTCAACCAGGTCATTTGAAGTGAGATTTCTTGATGCGACCGCAACCGTTCCCCCCCAAAATTGACTTGTTGGATGCGCACTGACGTCCTCTATTGGCATCTGGGATCCACTCCCTTTCCCTCGATCGCGATCAGCAGCTAATCGCGTACCTCCATATTTTCTGTCACCGATTGAATTTCTTTATTTTCTCCCGATTTACTTATTAGATGGCAACAATCTCAAGGCAAATGTTTTAGATCGTGTTGAGCTCTTTCCAACAATATGCTTATCGTCTCCAACGCTTGTCGTCGGCCGAACACCCTTGAGAGAAGAAGCCACTCTTCTCGTCCTCCCAAGTGGATCAACACGTTGTCCAGCGTGTTTCTCCTTCCCTTCACCGGTTTCACGCCCAAGGTCCGCCACGATGACGTACGGTGCGATTTCAGCAGTCATTCAGGAGCGGTAGGAGCTCTGTTGTTTCCACCAAGGAATGAGACTTTGTTTTTCAGTAGGTCACTCTTTCAATCAGCCACTAGACTCCCCTCAGCCTTGATACCATGTTAAAATATTCTAAAAGACTAATTGATCCTTAGAACCTTCTCCTAGAGTCTAGGATACTAATGAACCAAAATGGGCGTGACCCATTCTTAGGAGACAAATCCAGTAGAAGAAGTGAATTCCAACCAAGTCACAACCAAACTCTAAGGTGTTGGGAGTCTACCCTCTAGAATCATTCCCACCCCATCCAACCAAAGTACTCTACACTACCCGCTCTGTAATCTAACTTCTATATCTATGTTTATTGGACCAACCTAGATACTCCCATAATTCCAAGACTTTGGTACCAATCCGATGGTTAGAGTGATCAAGTGTATGGTGGTGGAAGTGTCCCTTCCTGCTGCAGTTTGTTGTCCTTGCTTGTTGCATGTTCAATTAATGCATTCACTTCAACATAATCACATACTATATGTATATACCACATACAGTACATGGGAGCTGAACCTATAACATGGTTGGCACCCTTAACAACTTTATTCCCCCTAACCGGAACGAGCAACCATGCAGCACACTCCCTGAAAGTTTATGCACACTGTCCATCACACTCCCTCCCCCCCACCCCTCCTTCTACACCATTCCACATCAGGGCCCCTTACCACCCATGCCATGCCATGCCCATCCCCCGCCAACACCCTAGTTCCCCAATTTTCCTCGCTCACTTGCAGCAGCACAACAACCATCCCCACTACCATCCCCACTACCATCCCCACTACCATCCCCACTACCATCCCCACTACCATCCCCACTACCATCCCCACTACCATCCCCACTACCATCCCCACCAGCATCCCCACCAGCATCCCCAGCACCATCCTCAGCACCATCCCCCCGCCATCCTCAGCACCGTCTATCTGCCTGCACACTTGCTCACTCACGTACACGAAACAGCACCACAGCTTGGGAGCGCGACAGCACAGACTGCGTGTAACGCGTCTGCTCTTGAGGCGCCCTCAACAGCACAAACCCCTCTGAACCAACAGCAGCCCCACTTCAATCTCTTTCAGCCCCACATACATGCCCTCCCTCTATCCCGCACCGCCACGTCTCCTCACGCTTAGAGTCAGAACGGAAGAAGTGAGCTTCAGGAGGGCTGCGGCCTCGAATCCCCACCCTCACCGCGCCACATCCATGCCTTCGATCCCGCACCGGCAGAACGGGCAGAGCGGACCGGGCGGCAGAGCCACGTGCGAGTTGGGCTTGGTGTGGGCCAGCAGGGACAGCACGCACGTGGGGCACAGGCGGTGCTGGCAGGGCAGCAGAGAGAGCAGGTACTGAGGAGGAGGGGGCAGGGCACCGGAAGGCGAGAGAGGAGGGGAGTGAGCGTGGGTGGCTAGCTTGCAGCTACTCGTAGCAGTCGTGATAAGGGGCCCGCTAGAGAAGGGGCTGGTCGCGCGGCTGCTGCTGCTTCCCTGGCCACTGAAAGGCGAAGCCACGCTGAATGTAGACGAGGGGCTGAAGGGACCAGACATGCTTAAAGGAGACGAGACACCGCTGCCGATGCCGTTGCCACTGCTGCTACCGCTGCTCAAGTGGCCCGGAGCCAGAGGGCAGGGCTCGCAGCAGATGAGACACACACTGCCGTCCGTCTCGCCCCCACTCCCCCTCCTGCTCCCACTCCCCTCAAAGTGCTCTCCATCGGGTATCACTCCCTCCACCGTGATTCCTGCCCTGCTGCCCTGCTCCTGTGCCGGATCCACCTGCTGCTGCTCTTCTCTTACTGCTGCTCCTGCACCCTCTCCCTCCTCTTCTCCCCACACCCCTCGACCGCTCTCCACCTCCTTCCGCCTCTGCTGCCCTGCTCCTCGTTCAAGCAGACGGACACTTGGGACAAGGGAAAGCATAGCACCGCCACCACCATTGCCATTGCTGCCATCCCTGCCACCACGACTGCCATCACCACCCGCATCTCCTTCCGCCTCTGTAATACCAGCAACACGTGTCTCCTTCAACCCATGCCCATGCCCATCACCTCGCCTCCCCTCCGCTCCCTCGCCCTCCACTTCGTCTCCTGCCACCTCTTCCACCTCTCCCTGTACCTCCACCAACGTCCCTCCTCCCACCAGGAGCTCCTTCCTTCTCCTCTCCATACCCGACTGCCCGCTCCCTTCCACTTTCTCCGAACTCCCTTCTCCGCTGACTTTCTCAACGTCTCCAAACCCCCCTCCCTCACACTCCCCTCTCTTTTCCTCAACCCCATCCCTACTGCAACACTCCGCCTCATGCCTCTCACACCTGCCCACCGACACTCCACCGCCCACATCCCCCCCACCTGCATCCCCCTCCTCCCTGTTCCCCGCATCTCCAATCCCCCCACCTTCCTCCTCCCCCGCCGCATCACAACCAACAGCCTGCTGCGACCCCCCATCCGCCCCCCTCCCCTCATTCCCCTCATCCCCCTCATAGCCCTCCTCGCCCTCCTCGCCCTCCTCGCCCTCCTCGCCCTCCTCGCCCGCGCCCCTGCCTCTGGTTCCGCTTCCGCCCTCTTCCCGACCCTCTCCGTTGCCAATACCCACACCAGTCCCACCCCCACTCCCACCACCATTTCCCCCGCCACTGCCACCGTTACTCCCGACACCCCCGATGCCCCCGTTGGCACTGTTGCCCCCACTACCACCCATGCCACCTAACTCGTCCTTCACCCCATCCGCTCTCCGCTGACCCTCCCTTGCTCTAACCCCCTCCGTACCTCCCTCCTCCTCCCCCTGCCCCAGTTCTCCGCCTCGTCCCCCGTCCCCTTCCGCTTCCCCCTCCGCCTCCTCTCCCCCCGCCTGCGCCGCGCGGAGCAGCCACACCACTTGCGGGGGAATGCGCGCGAGCAGCTGCGCCCAGGGGGAGGGCCATACCACGGGCGCGGGGGACTTGGGGTTCAGCAGCGCCGTCACGCGCTTGAAATCGCAGCGGGGGGGAGCGCCGCTCTTCCCCGCCCGCACGCCCTTCTCCGCGAGCGCTGCTTTCTTCCCCTTCTCCGCGCGCGCTTTCCCCCCGCGCTCCCGTTCCGCGCGCAGGGCCAGGGCGTGGGGCGTGAGCTTGTCATGGTTGAGCGCGGTTCTGTCCGCGCCCCACGCCAGCAGCGCCAGCACCACCGCCACGCTCCCGCTCCGCGCCGCCATATGCAGCGCGTGATTGCCGGGACTGCCGTGAACAGGGGTAGGGTTTCAAGAGAAGTGGCGGGAATTAGTTGGGGGGGCGGGGGGGTTGGGGGGAGGGGGGGGGGGATGCCGCGAGCTATACTGCACACGTGGCCAAACCAGCGACTAGAGTGTCCACGTGGCCGAACAACACACGTGGTGGTAGCAGCATACTGTGATCATCACTATCACGGTGATAATGCGAGGACAGTGCAGCACTCCAGCAGCGGCACTCACGCGTGGCCAGTCGTCGCCGTGGTGATGCTGACCGCCGCGCCTTCCCTCAGCAGCACCCGCACCGCGCCCTCCGCTCCCGCCGCCGCCGCCAGATGCAGCGCCGTGCAGCCCGTGGCGTCGCGCACGTTGACGAAGCGCTGATAGCCCCTGATGATTCGCGGGGAGAGGGGGCGAGGGGAGGCGGAAGAGCGTTAATCCCTGAAGAGGATGAGGGCCCCTCGGGGGAGCCCTGATGTGGACTCGGAGGGAGCTTTCCTCCACGGAAAGAATGAGGCGGAAAGGACTGTTTCAAGGCGAAGAGGGAGTGAGAGAGAGAGGAGGAGGGAGAGAGGGAGGACGAGTGGTTTGTGACGAATCGAACCAAGAGGAGGATGTCATCTTTCACAGGTTCGGATTCAGCTTCGGCATCAAGTCAAGACGGATTCCGTTTCGGCATCCTCCTCCTCGCACCACTCACCACGAGTCGTTCAGTCCGTGCGACGCCTTCGCCGCCACTAAGACGGCCTCGACGCACTCCGCGCTCCCCGCTCGCGCCGCCATGTGCAGGCACGACCGCGCGCTGGTCTTGTCGAACCGCAGCACCTGCGGGGATGCCACGTGTCATCAGGAGCGAATGCGCGTTACATTGCGAAGGATACATGTTGACGCAACGCGAGGCGGTGAGAAACGGCGGGAAAGCAAAAGCAAATGGAAAAGAGGCGGCGAAGCAAATCGACGGCGTACCGCGGCGTCGTTGATAAGCAGAAGGGTGACGACTGCCACGTGTCCTCCTCTCGCTGCCGCCATTAGCGGTGTCTGAATCAGCACACGCAAGGGACAGGTGGCGAGCATGCCAGGGTGCGCAGGCCATGATGGGTCAGGATAGTTGACGACTCGTCGTGTTGGGCCGAATTTAACTTAGAAGAAACGGCGATCGAAATTTAAATCGTCATGTCTCAAAATCGATGCGGAGGGTGAAAAGGCGGGGTCACTTTGAGGTCGACGCTCCAAGACCTTTGAATCCGTTGAGATGTTTGAGACGTTTGAGACGTTTGAAAGCGCACGCTTCACTCGAAACAAACCCTGATTCGATCTGAAAGGACGGCGTACGACGTACGACGTACGACGTGCGACGTGCGACGTGCGACATATGATGGAGGGGAGTGACGGACGCACCTTGCCCGTGGACGAGCAGCCATTTCTGTCGAGCCCGCTTGCGAGTAGCCGCGCGACGAGCTGCAAAGACACACGGACGGAGATTAGAACGAAAACCCCGAGTCGTTTTTGTGACGGCACTGTAAATCACAGCTAGGCGAGAAAACGTAGGACGGTCAGTATAAATATGAGCGGGAAGAGCGGGAGCGGGAGGAGGGTGGATCCAAACACACCTCGACGTTTCCGGCAGCAGCACCAGCGACCATGGGGTTGCGACGGGAGCTCATCATGCTGCCGACGGTTGCGGATCGCTCCCTGGCGATAAGCTGCGCCGCGGAGCCGCTGCTGCTCCTTCCCGACGCGACGCTTGCCCTTTCACCAGGTCTCTTGTCTACCGGCCTACTCTCGCTGTTCCCCATGAGTATACGACGTTGCGTATGGAGAGATACGGATCGGTACTAAAGCGGAGTAGTAGGGTGGGCTGGCTATGATTGAGATGGCGTATGCGTCACGTCGATGGGTTTTACAGACGGTCCATTTGAACGAGAAGCGTTTCTTAGGCAGAGGTTGCTTCGCACCTTGCAAAGCACGGCTGCTAACCTCGAAAGAGCATTCCTCCACGGAGGTCGAAAAAAAAAGCTTGCGATAGATTTCTGTTGGCTACGCGTGCAGACGGGAAGCTCTCCAGGCCTACGAGTAGCAAAAAATGTGGATCTCTCCTATATTGTAGGTATAGTTGTTCGTATAGCAAGGCTACTCCGTAGCAGACGTACCTATGCCGTACACTGTATACCTACTCCGTATTTCTGATCCTGGTATTTTGGGACAATCACGGCTTGGATCCTCCCTGTCTGGCTCGACTGCGCAACAGCAGTTGCTTTGACGGCTGGAAGATTGCGGCTGTTGGGGTGAGGTGAGGAGGGTGAGTGAAGTGCGGCCAGTGTCTGCTGCTGCATGGCAGCAGAGGGGCGTTGAGCACCGAAGCGCGAGCTCCTTTCGGGACAAATTAGCGGGGCTGCGCGCCTCCAGAGAGCGCTGCGCAGAACGCTCCGCTGACACCGGCGAAGGAATGTGTTATGATTTAGTAAGTGTCAATGTACTATAACGTGAGAATACAAGGTCTCTATTGCAATGAAGGCACGAGGTTATATAGGGATTGGCATGCTAGGGCGATAACCTCGGAACGTGGGTACGTTCGGCAATGTGGCGACAGTGCCGGACGCGACTCGGGAAAGGGTTGGGCCGATAAATGAGGCCGAACGTGACGAGTCGAGGAGTGTGGGTGTACGCGCAAGCGTACAACTCAGTAAGGAATGGAAATTCCTTACACTACCCCCCCTCCTAAACGAGACCGCGTGCATCGGAAACATTCCGACGCTGATAATATGCTGTTAGAATCGGATGTGACTCTAGCTCAGCGAGCGGCACCCAGCTGTCATCTTCTGACGTGCAATCGCGCCAGCGGACGAGAAAATCAACCATCCGACGGTTCAGCTGCATCGTGACTCGATGGCCGAGAATTTTCAAGGGCTCGGTCGTTGGTTCCTGCAGGGGCGTCAGCTGCCGTACACCGCGTTGGCGTGCCAATTCCGACGAACTGGGGACGTAGGGCCATAAGAGGCTTACATGGAAAGCCGGGTGGTGACGTCAATCAGCTGGGAGTCGAAGGTGAGTAGTGACAGGTGTCACCATGTTGGTCACTTGAAAGGGCCCACAGAATCGGGGTCGGAGCTTGCTCGGGATCGGCAACCGCAAATTGCGAGTGTCGAGTAGGACAAGATCTCCCACTTTGTAAGTGACGTCACGTCGATGGAGATCGCCTTGTCGGCTTGCGATCTCGTTGACATTCCTGATTGCCTCAGCTGCTTTTTCTTGGGCGGCGAGAATGTCTTCACCAAATTTCTGGGACCGGGGCACGGGTGTCTCGATGTTCGATGTAGTGGGTAAAACTGGGTCCTGTCCGTAGTTGAGGAAAAACGTGGACTAATGGGTTGTGGCAGAGAGCACGTCATTATACGCGAATGTCTGTGGGTTAGTACAGGTAGTCCGAATGAGTTGTTCCATAGTTTGGTTGACTCGTTCGGTCTGCCCGTCGGTCTGTAGGTAGTAGGCGGAGGAAAACTGCAGTTTGGTACTGAACTGGTCCCACTGGTGGCGCCAGAAATTCGATGTGAATTTCGGGTCTCTGTGTGAAATAATTGCGGTCGGCAGTCTCAGAAACTTAGGAGGCTAGGTCCATAAAGTTATACACTAGCTTAGCTAGGATACTAGGAAGGCCGCCATGGAATGCCGTGAGGAAAGTAGATCTAGAAGCGTGAGGATAAAAGTTGACGAGAAAGAAGAGGATCGATTAGGAAGAGAGAGGAGTACAAGGAGAGGTTTGTACCCTCTACAGAAAGGTTCAGTAACAACCTACCAAGCCTGTATTAAATTATAACTTATATAATTTTAACAGGCAATCCGTGCAGTCGAATGATCATGGCGATGAACAGTTGGGCAGTTTGCTCAGCTGTGATGGTTTTTTGGCAGGCGATGAAGTGCGCCATTTTTGTGAGGCAGTCAACGACCTCGAGGATGGCGTTGTTTTCGCTAGGACCGGCTGGCAATCCCGCCACGTAGTCCATCGTGATATGTTGTCAGGGTCGCTCGGGCGGATCCACGGCTGTAGGATTCCGGCTGCTCTCTGATGGGAGGATTTCATGATCTAGCAGGCGGTGCTAGAGCACACGTACTTGCGCACGTCGTTGGGCACGTTCTAATGCTAGATTTGGTGTATAGTGTCCTCATTAGTAGCAACTGTAGCTGTCTTTCAAAGCGCATCACACTGTACAGCAGGCAAAGCCATTGAGGTCAATGTGGCTGACGTCATGCTTCGTTCCCCTTTGCAAAGGGGGCAACCTTGAGGAAGCAGCATCCTTGATTGGTGGCTCGAACTTCGGTTCTGACGCGCGCTAACGGAACAGTACTTGCCGAACCTGTTCCACACCACCAATCACGCCATTCCGCGCCTTTCTTCAGACACTTGTGATCCGTGCAGAGTCAGAGATTTGGGTGTTTCCCCCCAACAGATTACTGCACGGTGCGTCGACCCGTGGCCCCACCGCACGCCCCCGTGAGCCGCTCGGAGACCGCGCATAGCCAGGGCAAACACCCCAGACCGCAACCTAGTAACACGCCGCCGAACCAAACCGAGCCGCCCAATGACCTTGCGATGAGCCGCATCCGGACCTGATCCCGCCTAGCTTTCTGGCCTGGGGAAGCGATTGCACAACTAAGGTCCGTCCATCCCTCCCGTGGCTGAATGTCGTTGATTCTTGCGCGCCCTCAAGCATCCGCTCTCCAGCACTTCCGTCACACCCATCAAAATTCCTCCCCGTCCCCACCCCCTCCCCCCCCACCCTTCTCCGTTCACCCAAACCACCCTGCCTCCCCCCCCCACCACCACAACCGCAAGTTCTCTACAGTGCTTCAGTCATTCACAGCAGTAGCATCTAATGCATATCTTCCTAGACCAGCGCACGACGTTTTCTATCCCAGATCTTCTGCTTCCTCTTTCCAGCATTCTTCTCATTCTTGGGTTCTGCTTGGCTAGGCCATACGTTAGGATATTCGAGGAAGAATAGCTGGCCTGGCCGATATAAACGCCGTTTCCCCTCCGCTGACACCGGGCGCTGCCATGGCTCCGGCAACCGGAGAACCCAGACCTGCAGAAGAAATGCCCACGGCCGCTCAAGCCTACATGGAGCCAGAAGACGGAGCCCGCCGGGTCCTGCCAGATTTCCTCCAGAGCGTGAGCATGGGCCATGTGAAGCTCGGGTACCACTACCTGGTAACGCACGGGCTGCCGATGCTTCTCATTCCCGTTATCGCGTCCGTGGCGCTCCAGATCTCGCGCGTCACTCCCGACGATCTGAACCTCCTCTGGGACAGCGTGCAAGTGAATCTCATCCCCGTGGTCGCGTGCCTGTCCGTCGCCGCATTCGCCCTCACCGTCTACTTAATGCTGCGAAAGAGACCCATTTACCTGGTCGATTTCGCGTGCTTCAAGCCGCCAGAGTCGCTCGCCATGACGATCAAGGGCGCGCTGGAGCACGCCGCGAAGATCGGGCGCTTCGACGACAAGTGCCTCGAGTTCCAGGCGAAGGTGCTCGAGCGCGCGGGCCTGGGCGACCGCACGTGCCTGCCGCCGGGCTTCGTCAACCTCCCGCTCAACCAATCCCTCGGGGAGGCGCGCAACGAGGCGGAGATGGTCATTTTCGGCGCGCTGGACGAGCTGTTCGCGAAAACGGGGCTCAAGCCTCGCGACATTGGTATCCTCATTGTGAACTGCAGCGTGTTCTGCCCGACGCCGTCGCTGTCCGCCATGATCATCAACAAGTACAAGATGCGCAGCAACATCCGGTCGTTCAACCTCGGCGGCATGGGGTGCAGCGCGGGCGTCATCGCCGTGGATCTCGCGCGCGACATGCTCCAGGTGCACGGCAACTCGTACGCCGTGGTGGTTTCCACCGAGAACACGACCCAGCAGCTCTACTTCGGCAACAAGAAATCCATGCTCATCCCCAACTGCATCTTCCGCATCGGCGCCGCCGCGCTGCTGCTGACCAACAAGAGCAGCGAGAGCTGGCGCGCCAAGTACAAGCTGCAGCACCTGGTGCGCACGCACATGGGCGCCAACGACAAGCACTACCAGTGCGTCTTCCAGGAGGAGGATGACCAGAAGATCGTCGGCGTGTCGCTGTCGCGCGACCTCATGGCGGTCGCGGGCGAGGCGCTCAAGACGAACATCACGACGCTCGGGCCGCTGGTGCTGCCGCTGTCGGAGCAGCTACTGTTCGCCGCCGTGCTGATCGCGCGCAAGGTCTTCCGCATGAAGCTCAAGCCGTACATTCCGGACTTCAAGCTCGCGTTCGAGCACTTCTGCATCCACGCGGGCGGCCGTGCCGTGCTGGACGAGCTCGAGAAGAACCTGGATCTGACGCCGTGGCACATCGAGCCGTCGCGCATGACGCTGTACCGCTTCGGCAACACGTCGTCATCTTCCGTGTGGTACGAGCTGTCGTACACGGAGGCCAAGGGCCGCGTGCGACGCGGCGACCGCGTGTGGCAGATCGCGTTCGGGTCCGGGTTCAAGTGCAACAGCGCCGTTTGGAAGGCGCTGCGGACTGTGCGGGCGGATAAGAACCTGGGCCCGTGGGACGACTGCATTGACCAGATGCCGGCAAAGCTTAACTTCTAGGGTGCTGCGACGATGAATGCCGCGACGTGGAGCCGTGGTGTGGCGAGGGTGACTGGAGAGGGTGATTGGCGGCGGTGTGTGGCGGGTGGATTCGACCGGGAAGAGGGGATCAAGGAACGGTTTGTATTGAGGAGGGGAATGGAAGGTGCAGGTAGAGCGACGGAGGAGAGCCCATTCATCCTTATCTTCGAGTAACCCCGTATTTCCTCTTCTCACTCGTGTCCCACCCAGCCGACTCGCCACTCCTTCCATGTAATACAAGCGGAGTGCATCCTCTAGGCGCAAAACCTGGCGCCGGTCGCCTGTGCTGGGGATGCCGCACTGTGGGCGTTGTGGGCATTGTCGGCGGGGCATCGGCATAGGAGGTTGTAGAGACCCATGCTTGGAGGAACACAGTGATGCGTGGGTGAAAGCTCTCCCAAATTGCCCAGGTTCCGCTCCTGGTGACAAACGTTGGAGGCCATTCGTCAGGGCCCGTGTGAAGCGGATCCTGTCCTGTGCGAACTGGTGCCATGTTTAGACTCTATTTTGTGCCTTTTTGTCTTCTGATTAGCCTAGGGTAGGTCTTCTAGTGCTTTCACCTGTTCATTCTGTCATGGCAACTCAATGCTGACAGCTTTTCCTAATTATGAAATATGCACCCATCTAGCTCACTGCTTTATCAGCCTCTGAGCCTGCTTGCTGGGAAACAACCACCATTGCATTTTTAGGACTTGATAACTGAAAGGAATGCACTTAAGGTGTCAGAGCTGGCTTTCAACTCCATTCTCCACTATCAGCAATAGCCCATGCATGCACTCTCAGGGCTGGCCAATGGATGAGATTAGTGGGACGAAGGAGGCATCCACACCAAAAGATGGATGGATCCCTTTAGTGGAATCCTCCAAAATACATGGGCGATGGCGAACCAGAAGCTGACATAAGCGAAAGCCGTATACATCAAATAACTTACGAATGGTTTCTCATCGATTCATGCCACTAACTTGTTTTACAATATTCTAGCAAGACGATTTATTCAGGTGGTAATTGTTCAAACAATTGACCTCCAGAACTGTACCGAGTTCCGGCCTGTCGGTTTGGTCAATGCTTGGGTTTTGTCAGCTGTCGCCTGTCGTCGTCCCTCCCAAATCCCAAGGTGGAAGCGGGCGACAGAGGATGTATGCGACAAGCGAGGCTCGTTTGGCCTGACCACGCTGTGGCGCGCGAAACTGCCCGAACCTCCTTGGCCTCGAGTTTGACGCTCCCGAGCCAAACACACCCCGCCCTGCCCCAGCCAAACAGATGTTTTCCAGGCCAAACCAAACCGAGTCGCCTCGCCTTCTGCGGGGTGTGCAGGTAAGGAATTCCCAAGGCGCGAGGCTTCGGTTCAGGCTTTGCTTTGGCGGAATTGCGCGGCTCCGCGAAACCGGGTCCTCAATTAACATTTTCTACCCGTTTTGCTCACGGCCAGGGCAACCCCGATCTCGGATAAATATTTTCTACGCGCGAGTCGGGAAATGCGAAAGTTACGGAATTTGAAATTGTGTGAACTGTATTTGGGATTTAGTGATTGCCCGTGAATTACCAGCCAACTGGACAGTCATCCGTAACAGTACCGCCACACTTCAACAGTGTTGCAAGGGGGAGATACGATTCCTACTCAGAAGGGCGCTGGCGTGGCTCTGTGGAATCTGGGCAGATGCAAACGAGATTTACGCGAGAAAACACGATAGTTCATGGATTCTCCTGAAGTCTCATGCCCCAAAGCTCAACTTCCGCCACTAGCTAAACTCCACGCGAACTTTGACAGCCCTGTCATAATTTCGGGCCATCATTTCGGGCAAGGGAAACATGAGAGTTTGTGCACCACCACAAGAACTCACGAGAACACATGCACCGTAACCTCAATTCGCGCCACTACCATAAATGTACAGCCACGTCATCATGTACCGCTAGAAGTTGAACCAAGTGACGAACACTGCATCCTGCCAAATGGCCTTTGAATCCATGTGCAGAAATGTACGTCTTGTTTCAGCGGAATCGATACAGACATGCGACAACTTCCCCGCCAGGTCCTTTACAACTCTCAACTGTTAGAAACGCGGAAGGCGAAAAACGGTCGAATCTGCCCAAAAGACCTCACGTAATCAAAAACGCATTTCCCGACTCGCGCGTAGAAAATATTTATCCGAGATCGGGGTTGCCCGGGCCGTGAGCAAAACGGGTAGAAAATGTTAATTGAGGACGCGGTCTCGCGGAGCCGCGCAATTCCGCCCTTTGCTTTCCTGTCGGGACGGAGCGGGTTTATCCCCCTCAGGCAGGGTGGCGAGGGGGAGAGGAGAAAAGTTATGGGTGCCTGATTAGACAAAGCATAGATTAAGGGCAGGAGATGAGTTTCTTTGCTTCATCAGTAGCACAGCCTGCTTCGTGAATTCGCCGGTCGAGCTTCTAGTATAGGCTAACGGATCGTGTGAGAAATCAGATTATACTCCGCATCTAGCCTGTGGTACTGGTAGGATAACGCAACATGGCGTCACGTGAACGAGGAGCTCCGTGCTGGCAGCTACTCGCCACGGCATGTGCCTTCGTTATCGGCCTGGCGGTCCTCGCTTGCTCGAGGCACGAGCACAGCCCATGCGCCATCAGTCGCGCACTCGCGTCGCTTCTGGGCAAACCTCCCATGTCGGACGAACCTCTGCTCATCCCCACTGGCCCGCGCTTCGGCGATCTGCCGCTTCTGCACAATCCTCTATCCGGCAGCGGGGATGTGTCTGACGAACTCACCCGCAATCATCTGATCCTGCTCGCGGCGGACAACGACGCGAAGGACCTGGCGGAGACAGTTCCTGCTACGGGCGCGCGTGACCGCAAGGCCTCCCGCCGCGCCTTGCCGCTGCGCCGATTCCTCAACCAGGTGCGGTACAACCTGGCGGAAGCGGCGCAGACGGCGCGCATGTTCGAGCCGTGCGACGCCGCCTTCACCGACCACACGCCGTGCGAAGACCCCGCGCGCGCCAAGCTGTTCCCCAAGACCGCCATGATGCACCACGAGCGGCACTGCCCGCCCGTGCGCGAGGTGATGCAGTGCCTCATTCCGCCGCCCGTCGGGTATAAGACTCCGCTCCCCTGGCCGCAGAGCCGCGTGGAGGCGTGGTACGTGAACGTGCCGCACAAGCATCTGACGACGGCGAAGGCGGACCAGCACTGGATCCAGTACGAGGAAGAGACGGAGAAGTTTCTGTTCCCCGGCGGCGGGACTATGTTCCACGACGGCGCGGATGCTTATATCGAGGAGCTTGGGAAGATTCTTCCTCTGACAGACGGGTCCATTCGCACCGCGCTGGACACGGGCTGCGGGGTACGTATACACACTCACATACATGCACACATGCATGCTCACGTGCACATCTTTCTACTCTGAAATACGTTGGAAGGTTGCGAATTTGCCTTAACATGCCGCCCCATTCCCCCTTCCCCTTTCCCCGGCTCGTTCGCCGCGCAGGTGGGCAGCTTCGGCGCGTACATGCTGAACCGCGGCATTCTGACCATGTCGCTGGCGCCGCGCGACGGGCACGAGGCGCAGGTGCAGTTCGCGCTGGAGCGCGGGCTGCCCGCCATGATCGGCGTGCTCGCCACGAAGCGCCTGCCGTACCCGCCGCGCTCCTTCGACCTCGCGCACTGCTCGCGCTGCCTCATTCCGTGGGCCCGCGAAGGTATGCAGTGGTTTCGTGTGTAGTGGTTTCAGTTTTGGTTGGTGCGAAATAGGGCGAGAGTGGGGGATGGGAAAGGAACCAAGGGTTGTGGTGAAGGGGGATGAGGGATTGAGAATGGAAGAGAATGAAGGGAGGAGGAGGAAGAGGCATGCATATACCCAGTAACAAATAGAAACAATCCCAATAACCCCCCCGTATTTAATCCCTCCTATTCATTCCGACCTCCTCTCCGCAGACGGTCGTCTGCTGGCGGAAATCGACCGCGTGCTGCGCCCGGGCGGCTTCTGGGTGCTAACTGGCCCGCCCATCTACTGGAAGCACTACGCCAGCGGGTGGAACCGCCCGGAGGCGGACCTCGCGGCGGAGCAGGCGGAGATTGAGCGCACGGCGGAGAGCCTGTGCTGGCGCAAGTACGCGGAGAAGGGCATGTTCGCCGTGTGGCAGAAGCCGCTCGACGGGGAGTGCCAGAAGGGCAAGGCGGCAGAGGGGAACAGTATTCCGCCCATGTGCCCCGCGGCCGAGGACCCGGACCTGTCGTGGTACACCCCGATGCCCGCGTGTCTCACCCCCGTGCCGGCCGTCACGGACGAGAACGGCGTTCCTGGCGGCAGGCCGGTTAACTGGCCGGCCAGGCTGACGGCCGTCCCGCCCCGCATTGCCCTCAACCTTGTCCCAGCGGCGACCTCTTCCGGTCAGGAGGCGAACGGAGAGGAGATGGTTCTGAGCGGCGGCGGTGGTGTTGGCGCCGATGCGTTGGCCTCCGCGGACGGGTTCCGCGCGGACACGGCGGAGTGGCAGCGGCGCGTGCGGTGGTACAAGGAGAAGCTGCTCCCCGGGCTGGCCCAGGGGCGCTACCGCAACATCATGGACATGAACGCGCGCGACGGCGGCTTCGCGGCGGCTCTGGCGGAGGCGGACGACCCCGTGTGGGTGATGAACGTCGTGCCCGTGGAGCGCGGAGCTGCCATCGGCGCGGACGGGGAGCCCGGCGCGGCCGCGGACGCGGTTTCCCCCTCGACGGTGGTGTTTTCCGCGGCGGACACGCTGGGGGTGATTTACGAGCGCGGGCTGCTAGGCTCGTACCAGGACTGGTGCGAGGCGTTCTCGACCTACCCGCGGACATACGACCTGGTGCACGCGTCGAATCTCTTCTCCAAGTGGGCGGACCGGCCGTGTCCCGTGGAGCATGTGCTGCTGGAGATCGACCGCGTGTTAAGGCCCGAGGGCGCCGTGCTGATCCATGACGAGCTGCCCGTGCTGCAGCAGCTGCTGCGCCTGGCGCCCGGGTTGAGGTGGGACGCGCGGATTGAGAGCAGCGGCGGGGATGATAGTGCCGAGGGCGAGGCCGTGCTGGTGTGCGCCAAGAAGTACTGGACCGCGGGGTGACGTGGCTGCTGGTTGACGTGACCGCGGGTTGACGTGGCTGCCGGTTGACGTGACAGCTGGGTGAAAGTGACCGTGGGGAACAAGGGAGAGAGTAGGGAAGGAGAGGCAAGCCGGGACAGGTGTTCAGCTGCTTAGTCTTGGGATAGTGTGATAGTGTGCGCTGAGACGACGTGAGGTGAGGATTGATTGCTAGGAAGGTATATATGTTCCTTTGAGCTGCCTCAGCTCTAGCTAGAGATCGAGCGTTAGATGGAGCATTGATCTACTCGCACGCGGTAGTCTGCATAGTAGTGGTGCTAACTTGGCGTCTGCTATCGCGCTTCTGAGAGCAGGAACTATTGATGGGTTTGCTTTGGTTTGGTGTGCTCCGTTACTGGTGAATATGAGAAACATGGACATCACACACGCTACGGAGCTTCTCAACTGGCTGAATCTTGGAAAGGCAATTCGACTAGCTCCCAGCCCTGAACTATTTACACTGCTATTTACAGCGACACTATTCTACTTTTTTCATACCGGCTCCTCCAGAAATCTTTCCCCTTCCGACATACCTCGCCACAGTCCGAAGGAAAGGCCTGACACCTCAAACCTCTCTCTCCCGCAGAACCAGCCTAAGCGGCGTCGCCAGGGCCAGGGTGAGCCCAAACACCTCCCCTAGCTCCACACCCCACTGCCCCTTCACTCCTCGCACTGCCTCCCCCCCTCCACTGCCCCCTGCTAACACGCCACATTGACCACTTTCGGCTGTTTCTGCTGGAGGCCCGTCTATGTAGCCCGGTGGTAACACGGACATGTCGAAGCGGTGCACAATGGCAGCGAGCATGCGAGCAGCCATGTCCACGCCCAGCGCCATGCCCGCACAGCCGCGGCGGCCGGCGCCAAAAGGAAGCATGCGGAAAGCGCCGGAGGGGTCCCAGGAGGCAGGCGTGAGGGAGTGGGCGGATGGAGAAGGCAGTGGGGACGTGAGGTCAGTCGGAGGAGACAGAGTATCTGGAGTGGGCGATATGGGCGATGGGGGTAATGTGGGTGATGGGTGTGATGGGGGTGATGGGGTTGATGAGGATGTGGATGATGGCATGAAGCGCCATGGGTCGAACTCATGGGGATTCTCCCAGGACTTGGCGTCATGGCTGATGGCCCATGCATTGATCAGCACCATTGTACCAGCAGGGATGCTGTGCCCCCCCAGCACAGCTCGGCCGGTTGTCTTGTGGGGCACGAGCAGCGGCCCCACGGGGTGGTGGCGAAGGGTCTCCTTTAGCACCGCCTGCAGGAACGGCAGACCCTGCACCGCCACCCCTGTTGCTCCTCCAGGTTCCTCTCCCTTCTTCTCCCCCTTTCCCTCTCCCTTTCCCTCTCCCTTTCCCTCTCCCTTCCCCTCTCCCTTCCCCTTTCCCTTTCCCTGTCCCTCCTGCTTTGTGAAGTCGACCGCAACCAATTCTTCTGCTGCAGTTGATGCTGTTGGTCCTGTTGCCGGAGTTGCTGCTGCTGCAGCAGCTGCTGCTGGTGTGGTTACCGTTTCACTAGAAGCTGCTGCCGCGTGGTAAGCAGCGTCAACCTCGTCCGTGAGGCGCTGGAGTGCATGCGGGTGGTTGGCAAGCTCAGCCAGAGCCCACTCCACTGTCTTGGCAGTGGTGTCCGTGCCAGCCAGGAACATGTCCAGCATCAGCATCACCATCTCCTCCTCGTCCAGTGAATCCTCTCCTCCTGCTCCTCCTGCTCCTCCTCCTCCTCCTCCTCCTCCTCTTTTTCCTCCTCCTCTTTCCCCCACTCCCTTGTCTCGCTCCAGAAGGGAGTCGACCAACGGCTTATGATCGCCCACCTCACCAGCTGGCGCCTTGTCGCCACCTGGCGTCTTCCCACCATTGCCAAGCCGCTGCCGAGCTTCTGCGCCCTCCTCTCCCCCAATAGCTGGCTGCTGCTGTCGCTCCACCTCCTCCTCCTCCTGGTGCTGCTGCTGCTGCTGCTGCTTCTGCTGCTGCTGCGGGTGACCAGAGCTCCGCATCTTCTGTTGTCCCTCCTCCCCCATGGCCCCACCTGCCCCACCTCCTAAGCTTGCATGCCCGCGCTTCAATTTCACCACCTCTTCCCTCTCAATGATGGCCTCCCGTGCAAACGCATGGATGGCGGGTTCCACCCGTTTGAGCCGGGCGTCGATGCCCTGGGGGTCCACCCAGCGCAGCCACGGCAGGTGGTCGCTCAGGTTAAACGCCCCCAGCACCAAAAAAACTTCCTCCACCATCGCCGCCACCCTCTCGCCTTCCCGCTCCATCTTGCGGTTACCACCCGCATCGGTAGTAGTAACACTACTGGCACTAGTAGTCCTAGTTGCACTGGTGCCAGTATGGCAAGTGCCGCACTCCTCGCCGGTGCTGCTGAAGCTGTAGGGGTAGCTCTCGCCGACAGTGAGTCGCAGAATGTTGTTCAGGGTCACTCGGGCCAGGTAATTCCTCATGTTAACCACAGCCGCCCCACTTCCACCCATCGCCGCTCGCCCATCCCCCCCACCTCTTGCGGCGGCGCTCCTCCTCCTCCTCACTTCCGCCGCCATCGCTGCCACCATCGCCCGCACCTCCTCCTCCCGCTGCGCGCCGCTCTCCGCCAGCTGTCGCGCCGACAGCAGGTGTAGGAACGCCAGGCGCCGCCGCTTCTTCCACGCCTGGTCCGGCGGCGCGAAAGCCACATCCTTCCCACCGAAAGTGAGCGCGCGCGAGGAGGCCACGAGCGGGCGCCCGCTAAAAAGCTTGTCGTCCGCTCTCAGCGCTGTGCGTGCCAGGTCCGGGGAGGAGATCACGACGCACGGGGTCGGCCCGAACCAGACGGTGAAGATCGGGCCGAACCTGTCTGCTAGCTTCGCGAGGGACCGGTGCGGAAGGGTTCCGAGGGAGGGTATGTTGCCGAGGATCGGCCATGGGGGGGGGCCGGGCGGGTAGGATGCGCGGATGCGGCGGCGGCGGAGGCGGAAGAAGAGTAGCATGAGAGAGACGGAGATGCATGCCACGGTGACGATGAGAGAAGGGAGGTCCCTCCCGAGGTCGGGGAGGAGAGGGCTCCTGGGAGAAAGAGAATTGCCAGGAGGTTCGGAGGCAGCCATATGCTGATTCGGATGACTATGACGATGGAGCCAGAGCGATGCTGATGATGGAAAGAGATTGAAGAGGTGAAGGCGGCGAGCTACTAGCAGCGACGAGAAAGAGGATGCGGTAGTAGCAGCAGCGGCAGCCATAGCTCCAGGAGCCACCAGATTGCCAATCAGTGATTCCTTACGATGAGCTGAGCTCAGATGAAGGGGACAGCCCCGAGCCCCAATCTGCTCGACGCAACGTGACCCACCCAGTCGCAACTGCTACTATAGTAAATGTTGGGAGCTGAGAGTAAACATGATTCCAATTGTCGAGCCTCGAGGTGCGTGCGTTGCGACGCGTTGGAGAGTGTACTTTTGCATTGGGGGGCCTGCTGCATGGGTTCTGCTGCACTTTTGCGAGCGCGCAAGCTCGGCATGGCGATGGCTTCCCTAAATGGTGAGAGAACGTCACGTGATAACACGACCAAAATTTGATGATTCTTGACGCACCTCACACACAGAAATGCAGTGAGGTTGTGGTCCGGGAAGGGGGTGCCCTAAAGATTAGTTAGGGCAAGGATAGGGAAGATATTTGCGACATCCAGAGAAGACATACTGGTGCGGCGCGCATGCGCTACATGCGTCAAAGAAACCAAAACATCCGAATACTAGCATCAGAACACTATATACAAGAATGTGGCTTACAACTAAAGGCAGTATTGGGCCAAAAGTGGTGATTTCACAATGTGTTTAGTAGAACCCGGCACCCATTTTTCACACGCAATGCGTATGAACAATCTGGGCCGCGGGTTTTAATTAGCGGCTACAAGCTAACGCAAACAAAGGTGTTGCTACAAAACGCAGAACTTCTGCCCTGTGGAGATGTAAATCAATTCATGCGACACAAGTCTAAAATGACGTGAAGCCTAAATGTAACATGCTCATCGAACCTCATGTGGGAGGAGGGTTACCCACAATCGCCACAATCGCCACAATGCTCATCGAACCTCATTCGAATTATCATATTTCCCTCTTGAGAAGTACGGTTGACCATCCGGAAGTGTAGAGGAGAACCATATTGGAGTGGAAGAATCCATTACAAGCACAATGTCATTCCAGGACTGGTTGGTGGATGGATGGGTAAGTGGCACGTCCCTGTTCGGAAGGCCCGCCCGCCCCCATTCTGCGCCATCAGCGAGCAGCTGCGCACAGCCGAGCGCAGGGGGTCAGCGCCGAGGGCGGCGGCCCGCTCCCTGGAAAGACCTGCCGCTCCGTCAACTTTTGACAGTTCAAGTTTCAACCGTCCGCCGTACAACCACACATACGCCCCACCTAACCACTTTGCCCTCCCCTCCTCCCGCTCCCCCCAATCCCCCCCCTCCCCCTTCCTTCCCCTCCTCCAACATCCCCTCACCTCCGCTCTAGGTTCGGCTCCCCCAGGTTCCGCTCCCCCTCAAGCTCTACCTCACTCTATGGGAGCTCCCTCCACTTACTCTCCTGAACACTAGTGCCTAACCCTGTTCCTCGCCTATTATGGGTAACCGCTAACAAAGGCGCCTTTAGTGACATGCGCTGCCGCGTCGAGCTTTCAAAACCTTGGAGCGCGCATGGTGTGCCGTATATTTTGACCGTTGGTGCCCGGCTTCAGTCTTTTCTCGACTATAGAGCATCCTGCTTCGTGTTCCCCGCTTAGGGTTTCCCTGCCTCTGGCTCTGGCATCGGCGGTATGCCAGTTATTTCCACCTGATGCTGCTTAGTTTTCATGCATCGAGCGTTCGGTACAACGCCGGCTCCCCTTATTTATCAGCGCAATTATTATGCGCTCAACATCCGCAGGAGCTTTCCTGCATCTGAAACGGGCTGTAGATACTATCGCGTTGGCAGATTATTTTCAGCCATTTCGCTGATCTTGATCCTACCCAGGCGTTCACTCAGGAAAGTCCTGGCACGGAGACTGTCCATGCCATTTTGCGACATTGCCGCGACGCGCCTGACTCTGACTGCCTCGGCAAGAATAACATAACACAGTTGCCATCGACGTTACTAGCTTGCATCTGCGCTCGTTTGCGTCGTCCCGCTTTCCGAAGACTGAAGGGGCTCTCATATCTGGCCCGTGGCGAATAAGAAATAAATAGTCCCCAGAAGACGCGAAGGAGGGAGGGAGGGAGGGAGGGAGGGGAGGGGGAGGGGAGGGGGAGGGGGAGGGTTGAATTGATGTGTGGGAGAAACCGGAGGATGCTGGACGCGCAAGTATGGTCGACTGGGGTCACAGAATCGGGTGCGGGTGGTGCAAAGTAGGCCATTAGTCGGGGAGTCGCGGGCGGGAGAAGGCAGGTCAGTCGCGAATGGGTATCCTTCCATGGGGTTGCCTTCTCCCACAGCCACGAACCCTCCTGGCAATTTCCTCGGCGATCAAGACAGCCTGACGTCAGACGACGAAGCTGCTGACGACAGCATTAGTGGTCCTCCCACGCCGCCGTCGATAGACGTTCCGGGCGGCGCTCCTAGAGAAGGGGATAGTCGCAGCAGCGCAGGCACCAGCACTAGCACCAGCGCGAGCAGCGCAGCCGCCGCCGCTGCGGGAAGAAACGCTGCCGGAAAGATCGCAGCAGCAGCAGCCGGAGCAGCCGGAGCAGCAGCAGTGGCAGCAGCAGCAGCGCCAGCAGCAGCCATGGGTTCGACGGCGAAGGAGCTTCCGCGGGAGATGGCGACGAAGGACTCGCTTCCGAAGCCCATCACCACGGCGGACGACGCGAAAGAGGCGCCGCACACGGTGATGATTCTGAAGCGACCGTACGAGAACGTGCAGGACCAGTACAGCATGGGCAAGGAGCTGGGGCGCGGGCAGTACGGCGTGATCCGCGAGTGCAAGGACAAGATGACGGGCGTCGCGTTCGCGTGCAAGTCGATCAGCAAGACGAAGCTCAGCGGCACGCGCGAGGTGGAGGACGTGCAGCGGGAGATTAAGGTGATGGAGGTGCTCCGGGGGCACACGGCGGTGATCGAGCTGCACGCCACGTACGAGGACCAGAAGGTACGATGGGGGGGGGGGGGGGGGGAGGGGATCTTCGGAGGTGCCTCAAGTGGCCCGCGCGGGGTGGAGGACGTGCAGCGGGAGATTAAGGTGATGGAGGTGCACGCCACGTACGAGGACCAGAAGGTACGATGGGGGGAACACGGTGCAAGGGGGGGGGGGGGGGGGACGGTGCGGGGTGTGAAAGATACGATGAGTGAACCGTTCAACGAGCGGCGGTTATATTGAGTCGAAGGCTGCGAGGCGTCTCAATTGAATTGGGCTCGAGTCACCTCAGGATTGAAGAAATGTGATGTTGGGAATAAGTGGGAGGGAGGGGTCTGTTGGGGGGGGAAATGAAAAATTGTCGGAGGACTGTCAGAGTGCGCTGCTATCCGCGTGCGGGATTTTAAAGCATTTAAGGCCAGCTATGGCTGGCGGCCGAAGCAAGCTATGTGCTCTCGATCTAATTGGTAGAGGCGGGATAATCAGAACCTCTAAAGGACGATTCAGTTGACCACCTATTTGCATTCCCCCCCTCCCTCCCCCTCAATCTCCTCTCGGCCCTTCACACCCTCCCTCTCCGCCGCTCCCCCCTCCCTCCCTCCCTCCCCCCCCCCTCCCCTAAGCGCGTGCATCTGATAATGGAGCTGTGCGAGGGCGGCAAGCTGTTGAGCGCATCAGCTCTTCTCAACCTAATCCCGCGAACCAGTTTCAAGAACGCCTCAAAGCCCTCCTCTCCCTCTCCCCCTCCTCCTCCCCCTCCTCCCCCCTCGCCCCCCTCGTCCCCCTTCGTTCACCCTCGTCCCCCGCCGCCCCACCCTCTCCACCCCCCCAGCGCGTGCATCTGATAATGGAGCTGTGCGAGGGCGGCGAGCTGTTCGAGCGCATCAGCCCTAGTCTCCCGAATCTTATTCTCTCCTCCTCACATCGTCCCCTCCCCTTTCTTTCCCCCTTTCCCCTCCCCCTACCCCGCCTCTCCCCCCCCCCAGCGCGTGCACCTGATCATGGAGCTGTGCGAGGGCGGCGAGCTGTTCGAGCGCATCAGCCAGCGGCACCACTACCCCGAGGACGAGGCGGCGCTGCTCACGCGCACGCTCATCTCCGTGGTGCAGCACTGCCAGGCGCACGGCCTCATGCACCGCGATCTCAAGCCCGAAAACATCCTGCTGGTTAACCGCAAGTCGCACACGCAAGTCAAGGTCGTGGATTACGGGCTCGCTGCCTTCGTCAAGCCAGGTGAGTTTTGAGGTGCCTCAAAGTAAGACTTCCATCTCCGTGGTGCAGCACTGCCATGCGCACGGGCTCATGCACCGGGATCCGAAGCCCGAGAAGACCCTGCTGGTTAACCACAAGTCGCTTACGCAAGTCAAGGTTGCCGACTATGGGCTCGCTGCCTTCATCAAGCCAGGTGAACATGTCGGGGGCTGCTGCTGGTGCTGGTGCCGGTGCCGTTGCTGTGTGTGTTCTGTGCGTCTGTGCTTCCTGCTCTCTCTCTCTCTTGCTGCCTCTCAGGCGATGCCCGTATCTCCTCCACTCCCCTCCCCTTTTCCCCCAGCCCCCTCCCTCTTTCCTCTCTGTTTCTGTCGACCCTGTTCTTCTCTGTCCACGACATTCACTCCGTGTTTCTCCTTCTCTCTGCATGCATCCTCTCCCCTCCTCTCCCCTCCTCTCCCCTCCTCTCCCCTCCTCTCCCCTCCTCCCCTCCTCCCCCCCCCCCGGTCTCCCCCCCAGGCGGCAAGCTAACCACAATGGCGGGCAGCGCGTACTACATAGCCCCGGAGGTGCTGAACAACAACTACGGCATGGAGGCGGACATGTGGAGCGTGGGGGTCATCCTCTACATCCTGCTGTGCGGGCTGCCGCCGTTCTGGGCGGAGAAGGAGGAGGGCATATTCGAGGCGATCAAGACGGGCAAGGTGGACGTGTTCTCGGGCGGGTGGGAGAGCGTATCCATGGACGCCAAGGACCTCGTGCTCAGGATGCTCACTAGAGACCCGCTCAAACGAATCACCCCCGAGAAGGCGCTCGGTGAGTGGAGAGTCTATTTTTTAGGCGCCTCAAAACCATGCGTGAGGAGTCTATTTTTGCGGGTTGCACGCACGCTGCATGCACGCTGCTTGCGTCCTGGGTTTGAGGGGGGTCTCGGGCCGGTGGGAGGCCGTGTCCATGTATGCGAGCCAAGGATCTGGTGCTCTCACGATGCTGACTGACCAGGGACCTGCACCTGCAGGAGTGTCTGCTTTTGATCGACTCAAAAGCTGATGCTCACTAGCGACCTGCAGGAGAGAATCACGCCAGAGAAGGCTCTAGTGAGGTGAGCCAGCCACCACGTGCATCTCATCCATCCATGTCAAGTGCATATAGACGCTGCGCCTGTCAACCCCCTCTTCCCAGTTCGCTTTCCCTCCTCCCCCACGCCTTCTCTTATTCGAGCCGTCCTTTCTCTTGCTCGCCCATCTCGTCTTCTCCCTCCCTCCCTCCGCCCCTCCCGCTTCCTCCCTCCCCCCTCCCCTCCTCCCCCCCCCCAGCGCACCGGTGGATAAAGCAGCACTGCAGCAACGCGGCGGACCATCTCCCAGGGCTGCCCGCGAAGCCAGTAACCGCGGACTCGCGCGCGCACCGCAAGGCGGACTCCCCGCGCATCCCCCTGCCAGACTCTGCCGATCGCAGGGCCAGCAGCAGCAGCAGCAGCACGCGCAACGTCGCCAGCAGCAGCGCCAGCCGCAGCGGCGGGGCGGGGGGGCACAGGTACGGAAAGGAGAGTGACTTGGCGTCGGTGCTGGCCAATGCGGACCTGGCGGCTGTGGCGGACGCGGTGGCGGCGATCCGGGCGAGCGGGGCGGGGGAGGAGCGTAAGGAGGAGCTGGCCGCGCTGCTGAAGCTGCAGGCGAAGCTTAAAGCCAAGGAAGGCGGGGATGGTGGCGGTAGCGGTGGTGGTGCGGGGGCGGGGAGTAGCAGCAGGAGGCCGGATTCCGCGTCTGCTGCGTCATCTAGACGGAGTGCGAGGGACGTGGAGAGGGCTCTGGCGGGCGCGCTGGCTGCCAAGGGGGGTGGTGGGAGCAGCGACAGGGCGAGGAGGAGTAGCTCTAGCGTGAGCCGCACTAAGACTGCTGATACCGGCGCGCTGCTGGCCGCCCTGGCGGATTTGCAGGATGGGGGCGGGGGCGGGGGCGGGGGCGGGGGGGCGGGGAGAGAGGCGGCGGGAGGCACAGGCGAACGGGGTCCAGGGGGACGGATGCGGGGGAGGATGAGGAGGAGAGAAAACGGCACAGGGACCGGGACAGGGACCGGGATGGGGGGAAGGGCGGGAAGAAGCAGGATGATAGCGTGAAGGAGATGTTTGCTGCGGCGAAAGATGCGCTGAGGGGCAAGGATAAAGACGGAGGGGGAGGGAAGGAGGACAAGGAGCGGTTGGCGAAGCTGCTGGCGAAAATGGAAGAGGTGAAGGCGTGGGAGAAGGACCGGACCGGGGGGCGGCCTTCGTCGTCTGCTTCGAGAAGCAGGAGGGATGACGGAGATGAGAAGGGAGGGAGGGACAGAGGGAGAGGAGGAGGGGGCGAGGATGGAGGCGCCGGGAGCCGGTTTCCGAGAGACTCGAGCACGTCTAGCAGCCGCAGCACTGATAGGCTGTCGAGGTACCGGTCGGATGCTGCGAGCTTGCTGGGTGCGTTAGAGGAGGAAACACACAAGGACGATGCGTCCTCCCACAGTGGCCGGGACAGAGACAGAGACAGAGACAGGTATCGGGACAGGGACCGCGACCGGGAGAAGGATAGGGATTGGGACAGGAGCAGGGAGAGGGATCGGTACAGGGATAGGGACAGGGACAGGGGCAGTGAGTGGGATCGGGACCGGGATAGGGACAGGGGGAGGGACCGGGATTGGGACAGGGATCGGAGCTGGGATAGGGATGGAGAAAGGGATAGGGATAGGTACAGGCGGGATAGGGATAGGGATGATGAGGTGGAGAAGGGACTTGATGGGGTGAAGGGGAAGGATAAGGATGGGCTAAAGGATAGGGGGAGTAGGGAGCGGGACCGCGATAGGTATAGGGACAGGGACAGGGATTGGGACAGGGACAGGGATGGTTATAGGGACCGGGATCGGGATAGGTACCGGGATAGAGACAGGTATGGGTATAAGGACGATTATGATAGTGATAAGGACAGGGATAGCGACAGTGACAGGGACTATGACCGGGATAGGGACAGGTATAGAGACCGGGACAGGTATAGAGACCGGGACAAGGATAGGTACAGGGACAGGGAGTGGGGCAGGGACCGGGATAGGGATTGGGACAGGAGGGACAGGGATCGTGACTGGGATCCCCGAGACAGGGACCGGTATAGGGATAGGGACCGGGATTGGGACCGGGAGAGGGACAGGTATCGCGAGAGGGACCGGGGGGATAGGGACTGGGATAGGGACAGAGACAGGGGGAGATATAGGGACAGGGATTGGGATAGGGAGAGGGAGAGGGAGAGGGAAGGGTATGATTCGGATGAGAAGGAGTGGGACCGGAGGGAGAGTGATAGGCCGAGGGACCGAGAGAGGGATCTAAGGGAGAGAGGGAAGGATGAGAAGGAGCGAGGGGGGAGAGATAAGGTGCCGACAACGCCGGGGTCGCTGCGGAGAGGAGACAAGGCAGACAGCAGCAAGAGCAAGAAGAGCGGCGGAGGGGGCATTATTAGGCACAAATCTGCGGATATTTCCAAGATGCTGACCTTGGGGGATGATGACGATGGGGGGGGGCGGAAGGGTAGGGGCGGGAGGGACACGGACAGCCTTGCCGGCGGGATTGGGAAGTCGGGGGGAGGGAGGAGTAGTGGGCGTAAGATGGAGCGGTCCGCAAGCAACCAATCGCAGCTGTTGCTGGGCCAGCAGTCCGCAGAAGGAAGAGGGTCGGACGGAGGCAGGTCCGGCGCCGCCCGACGAGGCTTGGACCGATCCAGGTCTCCGGACGGGAAGGTGAGGTCCGGTAAGGGTGGGGCGGATGGGGAGGGCAGGCACGGGCGGAAGTCGTCGATAGATATGGAAGAGAGGGAGCGGGAGGAGGGAAAGAGGTCACCGAGCGTGAAGGGGAAAGATGACAAGGAGGAAGGGGCGGGAGGGAGAGGCGGTGGCAGCAGCAGTGGTAGGAGGGCGTCTAATCGGGACTTGGTGCGTCGTATGTCCCCGTCGTGGCGGTCGGACGAAGACTCTGTGTCATCACCCTCTCGGCCCCCCACGGGGTCTCGTCTCAGGGGAGGCGGCAGCAGCAGGAGGCACTTGGAGAGCCCGTCAGGCTCGGGTGGGTCTGGCCGGGAACGAAGCGGAGGGGGAGGCACGGGGCGGTCGCTAAAGGTATTGGAGGAGTCGGATGCAGAAGGAGGGGGCTGGACTAGTGCCAAGACGGCGGGAGAGTTGCCGGGGTTAGGAAAGGAGAGGAAGGGAGGGGGGGAGAAGGAGAAGGGAGAGAGGGGGGAGGGTGAGGAGGGCGGGGATGAGGGTAAGGGTGAGGTGGGAGGCGGGAAGGAGGGAGGGGATGAGGAGGGTGAGGGGGGGAAGGTGACAGCGAATGGGTTGACGGAGGAGGGGGAGGAGGGAGGGGGTGACGCGGCAGTGGCGGCTGGGGATGGCAAGGCAGCAGATGCAGTGGCAGAGGGGGCGAACGGGACTCATGGAAAGGAAAAGGATAGGGACAGGGAGAGGGAGAGGGAGAGGGAGAAAGAGCGGGCGGTAGATGGGGACTATCAACGGACCGACAGCCGAAGCTCTAGGACCGGATCCTACAGTCGAGACAGGGACAGGGATAGGGACAGGGATAGGGACAGGGACAGGGATAGGGACAGGGATAGGGACAGGGACAGGGATAGGGACAGGGACAGGGATCGACCGCCTGCATACAGCCGCACGGCCAGTGGTCGGGGGGGAATCCCCAAGTCCCCCAGGCAGGGGGGAGCCGCCGCTCTTCCGCTGCGCTCCCCCAAGCGCGGGGGGAGGGAGGGGGAGGACGGGGACGACAATGCTCTGTCGAGGAACAAGTCTGTGAGCGCGTCGTGGCTGGAGGCGGAAGAGGTGAAGCGGGGGGAGGGAGGGGGGCACGAGCGGGGAGAGAGGGACGGTGGCCGGAGGGAGCGAGGCGGCGGGAGGAGAGGGGAGGATGGTGAGGAGTTTGGAGGGTTTGGCGGTGGGGGGAGGGAGAGAGGCGGCGGCGGCGGCGGCGGTGGGTGGGATGATGATGATCGGAGCGACAGGAGCAGGGAGAGGAACAGGGACCGGTACAGGGAGCACGATCGCGAGAAGGATTGGCTGCGGGAGAAGGACGGGCGGAGGGAGGGCGGGGGCACTAGCAGCAGCAGCAGCAGCAACGCGCTGAGGGGGCGCAGGCAGAAGTCCCAGGACCTGTCGCTGCTGGTGCCAGATGTGGGCGGTGCAGGGACAGGGAAGAGAGACGGCAGGGGCAGGGGCGGTGGTGGCGGTGCAGGGGAGGAGTCGGAGCGGGACGATGGGGATAAGGACTGGGAGAGGGGGGCCAGGCACAAGGAGAGGGAGAGGCACCGGGAGAGGGGTGGCAGGGATAGGGATGGTGATGGCGGGGATGGGGAGAGGCGGCGGTCGGGACATGGGAGCAGCAAGGGCAGTGGGCTTTCTAGGCATAACTCGTCTGATGTGTCGGCGCTCGTACCGTAGCTGCCACTCCAGCTGTGGGGGTATCCTCGCTTCATTTTGTTCGGTGCGTGCATGCGCTGTATGTGCTGCATGTGCTACATGCTGCGTGTGCGGCTTCTGTGCTCGCCTATTCCTCTTGCTCTTGCTATTGCCATTGCCATTGCCATTGCTATTGCTACGGCTGCAGTCGTACGGTGAATGGACGTACATCTGAGTCTTTCCTGGACAGTGGCAATTCGGCTCATATCATTGCTCTTTTGTTTTTGGCCTCACCTCCTTCGCTCCTCCCTCTGCTTCTCCGTGGCCCGTGTGCTTCGTGCTGCCTCTCTGTGTGACACCAAGTCAGGCATCAGGCATAAGCAGTGTTGTGGTGCTCAGGCATCAAGCAGCACCTGTACCAGCCAGCATCAGCCACACACCTTCAGGAATTGACGGTTGCTAACTTGCATGGGGCCTCAAGGAGCGTGCATTTGGGGCTGCATGGAATCGCGGATTCTTCTGGGTAGTTTCCTCCGTTCTCTGCTGTAGAAGGGATCATCTCTCCCGCCCACGGCCCGTCTTGTTTGTTCTGGTTCTGGCCGTTCATTCCTCGTTTCCAGACACACCTCTTGGCTTTTCCTCCCCCCCTCGCTTCCCCACACACACCTCACGCCATTCCCCTCTTACCTCGTTGGTTTCCATCCCACCCATCCCATCCTCTGTCCCTCCCCGATGCACCTCCCTGCTTCCCCGAGGGCTACTCATCAGACGGTTCAGTGTTCTTATTCAGCTGCCCGAGCAAACATCTGGTGTCCAACCATACCTTCCTTCTCGGTAGTCTGTTGTATCACCACCTCTCTAGGGGTAGGAAGTGAGGCTTGGCTAACTTCAACCTTAGCCTGAATTGCGTACCTCATTCACCAACATTTCTGATTTCAATCTCATGAAGTGATACCTATAGATGACGGTCTTGCATTGAAGCTGGAGTATCGGTTGCCACCACTTCATTGAAGATCAAGGAGGCAATATAGATAAGTCACTTTGACGCTATGGCATAACTACAAACATTTTGTCCTCCGTTTTGTACAGTATTTCTGGGGCTTCCTGAGGGCTCCGCCCCGTACGCCCTGCCCCCCGTTTCCCCCAGCCACCGCAGGCGCCACTACTGTACCACCGCGGCTGCTCCGCCATCATACACTTCACACAACTTTTCCTCCGCTCGCTTCCACTCACTCCGCTCGCTTCCGCTCGCTTCTGCTTCTCCTCCCCCTGCCATAGTTGCACCTTCCACCACCGCCACTTCCGCTCCCTACTCCGCGCTACCTCACCTCCTCGGGTAGTAGTCCCCAGGCTAGGGCGCTCCACAGATCTCGCCGCTCGCAGCGTACATCCGCTCCGTCGTTTTTCCACCTCGCACATCTCAACCTTTCGTCCTTCCGCTCCGCCCATCATGTTCCATTCCGCCAAGCGCGTTCTCCTCCCCGCCGCGCGCGCGGCCGCCGGCGTTGCGCGGATCCACGGATCCGCCGCCGCGCCCGCGGAGGCAGCGAGCCTGGCGGAGGCTTACAAGCGCGTGGCGCCGCAGCTGGACGTACCGTCCACACCGACGACCTACCTAAAGGAGCGCCCCGCCGTGTCGGCCACGATCCCGGAAAAGCTCACGCTTAATCTCTCGCTACCGCACGCCATGCCGTTCAGCGCGAAGCAGGTGAGCTACGAGCGGTGAACGCGCTGCTGCGTGTTTCGCACCGGTGATGTTCGGAAGTGACTGCTAGAACGCGCGGACGAAGAAGTGTAGAGTAACTGTTTTAGGGTTTCGCTTGGTTCTTGTGCAAGATCCTAGTGGTTATTTCCCACCCGCGATGTCTCTGGCCAGTTGCCCTGCATTTGGTTTCAGGGCCTGTCTGCGTTCTGGCATGGGAGCTTTAGTCTAGTCTAGAGGCCTTTAATAGTCCTTTTTAGGGCTCCTCGCTCCCATTGGTGCTGATCCGTCACTCCCAAGGCTCGTTTGAAGATTCACGTGAGGAATTTTCTTTTGAAGTACTCGTGCTCGTAGGATCACTCTCGGGGAGCTAGACCAAGTCAGGCCAAGTCAATCCACGTCAAGCCACGTCAGGCCACGTCAATGTCTGCGCCTTTTCGGTTCTTTTTCCTTCCCCTTGCCCTTCCCGTTCTCCTTTCCATTCTTCCGTTGCATTTCCCCTTGCCCTTATCCCTCCCCCCTTCCGTTCCCCGTCCTTCGTCCCTTTCGCTTTCCTCGCTGACCTATTCCCTTTCCCTGCCCTCTCCGTCCCATCACTCAATCCCATGCCAGGTGGACAGCGTGATCATCCCTGCCACGTCAGGCCAGATGGGCGTGCTGCCAGGCCACGTGGCGTCCATTGCAGAGCTCAAGCCGGGCCTGCTGACCGTGATCGAGGGGACCACGGAGACGAAGCTGTTCGTCAGCAGCGGATTCGCGTTCGTGCACCCCAACAGCGTGCTCGACGTGGCAGCCGTTGATGCGGTGCCGCTGGACCAGATCGACGGCGAGGAGGTGAAGAAGGGCCTGGCTGCTGCCAACGCCAAGGTTGCGAGTGCGACCACTGATTTGGAGAAGGCAGAGGCCCAGATCAGCGTGGATGTGCACAGTGCCCTCAGTGCTGCGCTAGGGCTGTAGATGGGGGGAAGGGCGGGCGGGAGGTAGACTGCAGGAGAGTTGGAAGGCAAGAGGAAAGTGAGACAAGGCAGGGGCACAGATGGATGTATATTCGGGTACAGGTGTGTGGAGTCGTGTAAGAGCAATTAATTAGGGATGTTTGGAACCCAGATGATTGAATGAATTACAGATGCTGTAGAGGGACATCAAGTTCCTAAGTTGGATGCTTGTGGTGTCAGTGTACAATGATGAATGATTGATAAGTAAGTTCGTTGCGTTGTTGATGACATTGGTAATTTGTGGTGAGCGTGTAATACTTTCATCGTGTACCTTTTATCGAGTATACATGAGGGTTCGCATTTCCAGATTCCAACGTCATATTCCTCGCATCGCAACACTAGTATTTACTTGAATTCGCATGTGCTTTATCATTATTATTCCCGTTCCTAGCGAATCCATGCCCTCCGACTCAGCTCATTCCCGGCGTCACATTCGCGCGTCCGCCGCCCTCCTCCGTCCCTCGCAGGTCACTTCTCTCGCTCCCGCCATGGCCAGCCGAACAGTAGAGCGAGTAGCACTCGTCTGCTTCGCGGCCTACACCGCATACTCGCTACTGATTCGTCCGCATGAGCAGTCCCCAGCGGGTGGCTGCAGCGGCGCAGTGGCAGCAACAGCGGGGGAGGCAGCGGAAGGAAGGCCAGCGGAGTTGCAGCAGCGGCTACTGGCGGTGCGAGCGACGGTGGGAGCGATGATGCGGGGGAGAGGGGAGGGAGGTGCAGGAGACAGGGATAGCATAACGGGCAGTAGCAGCCTGTTTTTCAGGCGCCTCAAAAATAGCAGCAGTAGCGGCAGTAACGGCAGCAACTGTAGCTGTAGCGCGACTCACGGGTGCTGCTGGTGCTGCGCAGATGATAGTGAGGAGAATCGCCCTGGCGACAGCAGCAGCGGCAGCGGCAGCGGCAGCAGCAGCAGCGGTGCCATGGGCGTCAGCAAATGTGAGTGGTCTGCGCCTGCCATGGCCGTCACGCCCCCCCTCAGCTCTCAGCCATGCCTCTCATCTCTCCTCTCGCCCTGTCCTGTCCTGTCCTGTCCTGTCCTGTCCTGTCCTGCCCTGCCCTGCCCTGCCCTGCCCTGTCCTGTCCTGTCCTGTCCTGTCCTGTCCTGTCCTGTCCTGCCCTGCCCTGTCCTGTCCTGTCCTGTCCTGTCCTGCCCTGTCCTGTCCTGCCCTGCCCTGCCCTGTCCTGTCCTGTCCTGCCCTGTCCTGTCCTGTCCTGCCCTGCCCTGTCCTGTCCTGTCCTGCCCTGTCCTGTCCTGTCCTGTCCTGCCTTCTCTCATCCCAGCCAGCCAGCATAGCATCCCCGCCCCCGCTCATCTCTCCTCGTCGCTCTGCCAACTCTTCCCCTTCCCTCCCCTCTCTCCCTCCCCCCCTCCCCCCTCACACACCCCCTCGTCTTCCCCGTGGCAGCCATCCCTGCGCTGCTAGCGGACCTCATCAGCACCCCCCAGGGCCTGCCGGCCGCCCTCTCGTGGCGCCTGAAGGGCGTCATGAATATTCCTCCCCATCGTTCCCCCCCACCCCCATCGTTTCCCCACCCTCAACGCCCTTGGCAGCCATCCCCGCGCTGCTAGCGGACCTCATTAGCACCCCCCAGGGCCCGGTGGCCGCACTCTCATGGCGCGGCAAGGGCGTGGAGGACGCGCCCCCGCCCTCCATGGCCTCGCAGACGCTCACAGCGTTCGGACAGGTGCTGGGGGGGGTAGAGTGGAAGGAAGGATGTGGGGATGTGGGGATGTGGGGATGTGGGGATGTGGGGATGTGGGGATGTGGGGATGTGGGGATGTGGGGATGTGGGGATGTGGGGATGTGGGGATGTGGGGATGTGGGGATGTGGGGATGTGGGGATGTGGGGATGTGGGGATGTGGGGATGTGGGGATAGTTCTGTGTTAGGCATGGTGGTGTGTAGGATGGGATGGGAGGAGATGAGACGGTGGAGCTGAGATTATTTTTTAGGCGCCTAAAAAATGGTTCTGTGTTAGGCGCGATGGTGTGTAGGATGGGATGGGAAGAAATGAGACGGTAAAGCTGAGATGCATCAACTCATGAGAGGCATGCACACGGCCATCATGCCAGCACTTCTGTTTCATTGGTCCTTCCCTTTCACTCTCTCGCCCCGTCCGCTTATCCTCGCTGCAGACTGCTTCGTTTGAGGATGCGAGAGGCAAGATTCTTCGAGTCAGTGTAAGTGGTTGTACTCCTGCTGTTGTTTGGAGAACTGGAAGCCTACTCACTGGAATTATGTCCGGAGAACTCCTGCTGTTGTTCCACGTCTTCTGCATGCTTGCATGGCTATCTTACGCATGTGTGTGTATGTGCGCGCGTGCATGCATGCATGCGTGTGTGCGTGTGCGCGCGTGTGTGTGAGGGCTTGTTTGTGCATGTGTGCGCCTATGTGTGTGTATGTGCATGCATGTTAACATGCGTGCATGCGTGCATGTGTGCATGTGCGCGCCTATGTGTGTGTATGTGCATGCATGTTAACATGCATGCATGTATGCATGTGCGAGCAGATGGGGGGAGGCATGGTCGTGAATCTGATGGCAACAGCGGCCGGCTCCCGCCGCAGTGGCGACATGCACAACTGCTCACAACACGACGTCATCCTCGCTGGCCGCACCAACCTCCACCTCAAGGTCTCCCCCATGAACCGTGCCTCTCAATGCATCTCAATTCCTCGCAATACCTCTCACTCCCCCCTCATTCCCCTCCCCTCAACCACCCCCCCACCCTCCTTGGCCCACCGAATCCCACCCTGCCTCTTCCTCGTCTCAGTCAGCCCCTCCACTCACTCTCGCCACTCGGCGTTTCCCATGTGTGATGAGTCAGTTTTTGAGGCGCCTCGAAAACCGCATCCCCCTCGTGCATGTCTGATCGTTTGCTCTCCCTTGATGTGCCTCGCCCCCGTGCCATGCCATCTGTTCGATGGCTTCCCGTTTCCATCGGTTTTGGGGAATTCTAAAAAGCCCACTGCTCTCAGATGGCCTTGTGGTGCTCCCTTCTCACGCTGCGTGCGTTCTGCGTGCGTTCCACCCCGTGTGTGCAGGACCTAGTGGGTGGTGGGGAGGAGGTTAAGGAGTACGACGGTCGCCTCAATGTCATCACCATACCACCGCGGTAAGGCCGTCCGTCGCATAACCGTGCCAAAACATTCTTACCGCATGATCCATGCTCAATAGCTTCCTACCTACCTGTGCCACTGCTCAAGCTTTCAAGCTTTCAAACACGTTTTGGGCCGAGTTATCAACCACACGTCACACATACAAGCGTGCCTGCACGCGCCAGTGCAGGTTCACTCGCTGCTCTATGCATTTCTCCTTCCTCTCTCCGAAGGTGCATGAGCTGTCTGTCATACACTCTCAAATAGTTTTCATGAGCGAACTTGGGCTGGGCGGCCTTACCCTGGGCGGCCTTACCCTGGGCGGGCTTGCGCTGATCGTTCTTGAGCTCTACTTCCCTGTGCCACTACTCTTCCCTGTGCCGCTACTCTTCCCTGTGCCGCTACTCTTCCCTGTGCCACTACTCTTCTGGGACACTATGCTTCCCCGGGACACTACACTTCTTCGGGACACTATGCTTCCCTATGCTGCTATACGGCTTCCCCAGGCCACTATGCTTGCCCGTACCGCTATGCTTATGGGCCACAACGCTTGTTCGTGCTGCCATGCTTCTTCGGACCAAAATTCTTCCCCAGGCCACGTAAGCTTGTCCGGGCCATTATGCTAGGTTTTCATAGCTGTCATAAGCAGTCAGTAGCAGATGTCACTACCTATCGTGCCTCCACAACTGCTACATTCGTTCCCCCATCTGTCCCCCCATCTGTCCCCCCATCTGTCCGCTTGTCCCCCCACCTGTCCCTGCGCAGAGTGCCGCACATGTTCCACTTCTTGGAGGACAACCTCATGATCGAGTGGTGGGACTGCGACTTCCAAGCCTGGTGCGTCCCGTCCCTTGCCCCTCCCTCTCTTGATTTCACGGGCTAGTTCCCTCATTCTTTTAGTTTCTCGTACGGAGATGATTGGACGTAGGCTCTTGGACGGTGGTTGTTGGACGGAGGTTGTTGCACGGGGCTTGGTTCTTGGACGGAGGTTGCTGGGCACTCTTGCTGCTGGGTCTCTTGCTGCTGGGCGCCCTTGCTGCTAGGCTCTGTTGCTTACGGGCACTCTTCCACGCTCACATGCTCCCTCCCTTCCTCACGCGCCTACACTGCACTTGGACACACGCAGCCATGCTGCCGTGTGCGCGTTTATGCATTTGGTCACATCACATCACACCCATTGTGTGGGTTGAGTTTAGTTTTGAGATGCCTCAGAACATCACACTCATTGTATGGGTGGAGTTGGTTTTTGAGAATTATTAAAAACCATCCACATGCAGCACACGCGCGCACATATCGTGACGAGTGTGTAAGTTGTTTCTCGTTGATTACATCCTAGCCCATGATGGTATATCTGTGCCGCAAGTTTGAAGGCATGTCTTCTCCCTCACCCACCGCCACACCCCCCCCACTACCAGGTACTACCGTCCGTATCGTGACATTGTTGCAGCATAGCTAGAAGCAAGAGTAAGGTTGCCATGAGCAGCAGCCCATGAAAGGTGGCTGTGAAAGGTTGTGTACATAAACGTGCTGGTCTGGAGTTTCCTATTGTGCATGGAAGTTTCCCGTCGGAAGTTTCCCAAAACCATGTACATGGAAGGACGCAGGTGAAAGAATACTCGAGTGCACGTTTTTTTGTAGTGATTAATGTACAAACAGTGGGTAGAGAGACAGCCAGGCCAAGCAGCATATGATAAGTAATCTATGTACAGACTAAGGCGCGCACAAACCGAAGATATTTTCTGAGCAACCACAAGAGGGAGAGAGCATCTTGGAGGAGGAGAGTATATGGTAGGTAGCTGCCATGGCGATGCCACGAAAAGCTCCTAGCCAGTGACGTGCAAGGTGAGCACATGCACAAGCGTGCAATGCACAAGCCATTCCCGCCATTGCATGGTATGGTAGCAATTCCATGGCTTGTGGCATGGTTTTAAAGTTGATGCAAAAACGAAGCAGAGACACGTGGCGTGAATCAGCACACGCGGGACGCATGCCACAAGCCAGGCGGCATGTCTCACATGGCACGTGGCACACGCCACTTATGAGCCACACGCAATGGCCGTGTGGGGGGAGAGGGGGATGCATGGCACGAGCATGTGCAGTGGCGGCGACATGGGACTGGGACCACCACCACCACCACCACCACCACCACCACCACCACCACCACCACCACCACCACCACCACCACCACCACCACCACCACCACCACCACCACCACCACCACCACCACCCAGGCTGCTTCGACCACCAGCAACCACGCTCACAAGAGCGTTGATAGTCACAGCCACGGGTCATTATCTTCCCTCCCGAGCACCGATCACTGCCCGTGCTGTGCCATCTATCATTGACACGCTGGGAAACCACTCTAGCTGCGCGCCATCTGGCACAGCAGCACTGCAACTGCTACTGCACTATATGTACACTGTGTATCCACATCCACATGCCATCTGCCATCCCACCGCATGTGGAACGCTGCTGGTAACCCTCTCAGCTTCCAGAGAGGAGGAGGGGAGTGAGGGACAGGCTGGTTGGCCCTGGGACAGCTGGCTGTTAAGCTGTTGAACGGATTTCTCACCGTCTCTCTCTCCTCCCCCCCTTCCCTCCCCTCCCCTCTCCTCCGCCCCGCGCCCCCTCCCCTACCCCCCCCCCGGCCAGCAGGTGCCAGAGCTTCACATGTGGTGTGTGCAGTTGGGGCACATGCGAATGATTGCGAGGATGATGATGATGATGATTATTGTGTGGCAGCTCAGCTCTGCTCTGCTCAGTCAGTGGAATGCATTTGGAACCACCTGTGCTCTGAAACGCAATCGATGACGACACGGGCAGGGAGGAGGGAAGTGGGGGCAAGGTTGGGACGATGGAATGGCAGAGGAGAAAAACAGGTACCCGTAGGCAGTACGCCACACCAACACCAGGACACACGAATGTTATCCTGTACAACTAAAGGTGCCCATGTCATAAGCTACAGCACGACACAGGAGAGCAGAGCAAAGCAACGCAGAGCACACCATGCAACACCATACCACACCGCACAACACCGCACTGCACCGCAACGCAGAGGAATCACGGCTCACCAAGCACTTGTTGCGCGGTGGGGCGGGCGTTGGGGTCCCGGCAGAGCATGGAGGCGAGCAGGTCCTTGGCGTCGCCCGACACCTGCGCCCACGCTGCACCTGATGTGAGGTCCAGCGGCGCGTTTGCCACCGCTTTGAACACCTCCACTATGCTGGCTGCGGTGGGTTGAGGCATGGGGGAGGAGGGACGGCAATGAGGGATGAGGATGGATAGGGGAAGAGGGGGGACGAGGGACGAGGTCACAGGGTGCCGCAAGGGAGTGGGGGGAGAGGGGGAGGAGGTGAGGTGGGCGACATTGACACTGACAGGAGGGGACGTTCACGTGGCGTGCACTCACGTCCGTCGAAGGGCAGCGCGCCCGAGAGCATCAGGTGCATGAGCACGCCCGCGCTCCACACGTCCACGGCGTGCGCATACCCGCGCCCCGACTGCCGCTTCAGCACCTCGGGCGCCACGTAGCACGGGCTGCCCGCCACGTCATGCAGCCGCTCGCCCGGGCGGCAGAACGCGGCGAGCCCGAAGTCGATCGCGACGAGCGGCGGAGGGGGGTGTGGTGAGGAGGGGTGCGGCGCGGTGGGGAGCGGTGAGGAGGGCAGCGGCGAGAGGAAGAGGAAGTTGCTGGCCTTCACGTCGCGGTGCACCATGCCGCGCGCATGGCACCCCGCCACCACCTCCACCACCGCGCGCATCAGCCGCGCGGCCTCCGCCTCGCTCACAGCGCCCTGCGCTCACGGGCCGACGGGGGGGGGAGGGGGGGGCAAGTGGGGGAAAGGGGGTGGGGGGGGGGGGATGGGGTGGGGGGGAGAGAATAAAGGGAGAGAGATATAGAGATGGAAGGGGGAGGAAGGGGGGGCAGACGGAGGGAAGGGGAAGTGGCGGAAGCCGCCGAGTGGAGATCCCAGATAAACCAAAGAAGCCAGAAAAGACATTCGAGCATATGTACGTACGTACGGACGGACGGACGGACAGAGGAACGTACTTTGGACGCGATGTAGTCTTGGAGGCTGGGACCCCGACAGAGCTGCATGATGATGTGGCAGTGCGACGTCGCAGGGCCGTCGTCCACGACGTCGCGCAGTCGCACGACTCCTTCAAGCCCCTGCAGCTTCCGTAACACCACCACCTCCGTCAGCGCTGTTGAGAACCGCGCCGCAGCGGCGGCGGCCGTAGCTGCTGCTCCTGCTCCTACCCCTGCTCGGGCAGGTGAGTTGAGAGTACTACCTTCTCTTGACACGCAAGAGACTGAAATCGATGAGGAAGTAGCCGGCGAGCCAGGTGCGACCGGGTGAAGAGGACCTGAGGGCGAGCAGCCATGGCAGTCACACAAGTCACTCATGGCGCCGCTGCTGCTGCCGCTGTCGCTGCCGTAGCAGCTGCTGCTGCACGTGGACCCGCCCGCGCTCCCGCTGCTGCTGCTGCTGCTGCTGCCATTGCTGCTGCTACTGCTGCTGCTACTGCTACTGCTGTTGCTATTGCTACTGCCATTGCGATTGCTGGTACTGCCGCTGTATCCGGTGGTGAAGGGAGAAGCCGCGTTCTCCGTTTCCGTCGCACCGTGAGTCACAACCATACTCGGCGCGCTGCTTTTCGCGATCGATTTGCACGCGAACTCCACTCCCGCATCCGGGCCATTTTTCGCCTGGCAAACGCGCACAGTCCCGAATTTGCCTTCACCCAGCGCGCGGTCTAACTCGTATAATTCTAGCAGCCTCCTGCCCGCGACCGCCGCCGCGAGAGGCGCTTTCTTACGTCCCCGGCCGGCCGAATTGAATTTTGTCTGGGGTGTCTGCAATCTGGATGGCTGAGATTTGGATTTGGATTTGGAATCGCTATCTTGACGGCTGCTACGCAGCCAACGGCGACGACTGAAGTTTTTGTCGACTGGAGCGCACTTTGCCACGTCAGCCGCGTACACTACTGGAGGACACGTGGAATTCGCTAAGACGGCAGGTGGACGAGAATCAAGACGGTTCTCGATTTTTGTGCGCGACGAATTGCGACGTTTCTGCGGCATGGCGACGTCGCAGAGGTCATCGTCATATTCGCGCGGAAAGGCAGAGGAGCAGGTGTTACCCATTGCATAGCCGAGGCTACTGATAACGGGAAATTCGATCTTACGGAGGCGATGGCGACGATTAGGATGCGTGTGGTTTGAACGTAGGGCTTCTACAGAAAGTAACAAATGAGACGGGAAGGGACATGAAATGGCTTCCGAGCATGCTTGCAGGACGGAGGGATAAGGAAGCGGACGAGGAGGAAGAAGGATCAGGAAAATCAAGAACGGAAGGAGGTGGTGGAAGAGACAAATCAAGGGATGAGCCCCTCTGCTTCCCGTCTCGACCGGCAGCAGCAGGTGGCTAGGCGGAGGCGTGGCGGAAGGCCAAACAGTTACTACATGTGATCGAGCACCCGTGCATCACGCAAGCGAGATGTTGGCTACGTGAGAGCGCGCGATTTGGGAACTGGATGCTGCAGGCGTTGACGAGAGAAGCGTCCTGACGTGCTGACGAGGG